TGCCTATTTCTCGTTGTTCGCTTTGTGTTGCCGCAGTATTCGCCACAGTATGTATACGCGGAGATGTAAATAAAGCAAAACAGACGATAATTTGACACAAGCGTGCTCATAAGAAGAAGCATAGCTTCTATCGCTATCACCTGTAATTGATGCGCCTTGAGTTCAAGTATTGAATTCAATTCTGCTCGCATGTGGAAGAGAGGGGGTGAGAAGAAAAGGGCCGAGTACACATGCGTCTGTACCGTGAAGTCGTTTCAACTTTCTTGCTTTGCTTTTGGCATTTTCGTTGCTTTCCATTTAAAGAACCAAAAACCTGAATTCAACAGAATTGAAACGTGTAAAAGTAAATTGAAAACGCAAAAGAGAATGAGCAAGAATTTTTCAAGTACTTGAAACATGTAAATCGGATGTAACGAGTAGCGAGTACAGAATATAGATACTTTTCATGAGTACTGAGCTATATCGAAAATCCGATGCTTACCGGCGTTCTGATATTTTCTCCTATGCGCGGGTGGATGCGCTCAAATAAGACACTTTAAAAAGGGAAATCAAATTTTGTTATGTTTCAGGTGTGAAGCGGCCTGAAAGATAAGTTTTTAACGTCCCTTGGTTCACGAGATCATAAGAGACTACTGTGTAGATTTATACTTCTACATGGTTCATGGAACATCATTTTTTTTGTTACTTTCGTTTGATAGGAATTGTAGAAAAAATTAAGTAAAACGAAGAAAAATTAATAATGAAACAGCGCAAATCTAAGCGCAACGGCAACGCTGGACACAATAGTTGCAAATTAGAAAATAAAAACAAAAATGTTTACGTCGCGTCATTTGGACGAAAATATTTGAATTTATAGAAAACAGAATAAATTCGACCGTCGGGCAAGAAACATTAATTTTTATTAATTTGAATCGGCACACATACAACAAAATTTTGTATGCATTAAATCCTCCAATAAAAGAATTGGTGTTTTTTTTTCGAGAAAAAACACGAATTTTCATGGGTTTTAGACCTTTTTCAAAGAAAACCCTGGCAACACTGGTTATTAGTTGTCGCCAAACTTCAAATGTAAACAAAACTCAGCTGTAGAGGTTATTTCCGTTCCGGCGGAAACATGGAGACTTGACGAAACTCCGAGGGGGAGCTAGTATTCTACATATAAATGATTGGAGATCTTACTATACTATTGTTTTGGCAATAAATAAATGAAAAAATAATAAAATTGTACACTAAACTTGAGCTTTAAATTCGACATGGGTTTTTGTATGCAAATCTACATATGTATTATTCAAATATTTCCAGCTAATCGATACACTTAAATGCACTTGTACTGATTGATAAGAGTCTTCTAACTGATCCATCAAATCCAACGAGCAGTCTCATTACTAGTCTTTATGAAAACTGCGGTTGTATACGGTGCGAGATATTCCAGTTTGAAAGCAATATTTATGTGCATATGTATGTATGTAAGTACGTATGTGCCCATACATATATGTACATATGTGCATATACACGTGAGTGTATTTCCATTATAATCAAAAGCAATATCAAGTTATCAATTCAGTCACTAGAGGGGCACCACAGCAGTCGGTTATTGGAGAAAGAGCACACACGAAATGGAACGAAATTTTGTTATTTTCTGTGCAATTGTGATATTTTTATTAGGCAGTTTTAGCTCATTAGTTGTTGGCGAAGAGTATGAGTAAGCGTACTTATGTATATGTATATACCTACATTTGTTGTTTAAATATTAACCTTACATTAACTATCCCCGTATCTAGCGCCCTCAACACTTTCGCTAAAATCACTGATCATTACCAAATACATCTGGCGGTTTATTTTGTTATTCATTTATGCCAAAATGTTAGTTAATGCACCTTGATTTATGCTTTATTATTTAATCGTAGTGTTGTATATGGATACGAATGTCAGCAGAGCAAGTGTTTAAGAATTGAAATTACGGAGAAAACTATAGAGACAGCCATCAGTTTGCCAGTATGTCGTTTGCTTTGCGGAGATTCACCAGTGGGAACTGTCTGGCCAAAACCAACTGGAATTATGCGCACTGAGAATATTTTACTACATGTAGATATAACAACAATCACATTTCAATTTCCCACCAAACTCACCAAACAACTATCGCTATGGGAGGCAAGCAAAGAGAGATTTTTGCAGCAGTTAAAAAGCCACACAGAAGATGTAATTGTCGCACCAAAGCCTGGTGGATCCAATTTGACAGTAGTAGTGGAAATAAACTCCGAAATCGATGAGCTACCCCGTCTAACGCTTGATACCGATGAGAGCTACAATCTAACTATATCCCCCCTAAAAGGGGGTGGTGCTGCGATCGCTAAAATCTCAGCAAATTCATATTTCGGTGGAAGACATGGTTTGGAAACAATTTCACAGTTAATAGTTTATGATGATATTCGTCGAGAATATCAACTATTGGCTAAAGTGGAAATAGAAGATGCACCTAAATATAAATGGAGAGGAATATTATTGGATACGTCAAGGCACTTCTATTCTGTGAAGTCTATTAAACGTACTTTGGGTAAGTGTCACAACAAACATTTAGTTTAAAGAACGATTCGAATTCTAATGTTTTTCTCTCTAAGTTAGAAGGTTAAAAGACGATTACAGATTAGAATCAAGAATTATAGCATAAGCTCTGATCCAACACTTTTCGTTTAAAATCCTGTAAAAATGTCAAACCGCAAAATGACTCTCTGAAGTGAGAGTAAAAAGTGAGTAACAACATAAAGTACGGGAACAAAAATAGCATTTTTTCCTGTAAAAACATCAACCAGTGATCGCTTGACACTTTTCATGATTTTACCAAAAGAAAAAGTTCGGGTAAAATCTTGCAACTTCATTATCTACACAACTCTCCAAAAATCGCTCTCAACCTGTTAGTTCATGGAGTACTGGATCAGAGCTGTTATATAAGCGTATTCTAACGTTGGATCCTAATTGGTTTCTTTTGTCTAGTGTACTTTTTAATCAATCTATAATCGACTTCTACTCGATTCGAAAAACATTGGAGAACTACATTAGAAATCGAATGTAAAATCAAATGTTTCTCAAACGTTAGAGACTGTAGTTGCGTTTTCTACGCACTATCCAGTAAAAACTACATACTAATCATTTTACGGGAATTTTTGTTGGCTAGCGTTTTCGTACCCCAAAAGTTGCAAAGTCTTGGAAATTGGGAGGGTCATGTAAAAAATATCCAGTAACTTGCCAGTAACTAAATTTTCAAGAATCCCTCTCAATGAGAGTACTAATACGAATGGATAGTCCTGAAATATACTAGCCAGAAACGCCATTGCCTTATAAAACAGAGAACAATTTTGAAATATGAATATTTTTACTCTACAAAATAATTATGCAACCCCACATACGCGATTTTGCATTATGTTGATGAGCGGTTTTGTACTTTAAACGACGATATATGAGTAGTAAGAACATTTTTATAAAAAAATTATTTCTGAAAATAATATAATAATCAGCTGAACATTGAACTTGCAAATTTTACTGGTTTTGCGTTTTCGTACATCCTTCAATGTTTTTTTTATCTCACTGAGAGGAAATGTGGTATTGTGTTCACAAATTTGGTTACTGGCAAATATCAAGATTTTTATTTTTGATCATTGTAAAATCGTTATTTTCTTCAATCAAAAATAATCGTTGAATTTGGATTTTAATTATTTCGGTCAAATTTAATCGTTATTTTGTGATCTTAATTTTTTCGATAAAAAATAATCGTTATTTTGTATATATA